ATTCAGTTCATTTAATGCATCATTTTTCCGTATAAATATATGTATATATATGTATGTATACAGCAATGATTAAAATACAAGTAACGCGTCGGCTCCTTGGGCCTCGCTCAACTCAATCCCGAAAGATTGTCCTGAAAGTTTGTACAAATGTTTTAGAACATTTAGTATTTGGTTAGTGAATTATTGAATATATTTATTCTTAAAAAATGAAATTATTAAATAAAATAAAAAACTAATGGTGTAAGATAAGTCGTCAGTTCGTATTATGGAAAGCAGTTTGTTTTTGATAGTATATATTCTGTAACTCTTTCGTGTTTAAAGTGTATTTATCTAGTTTAGTATTCGAAATTAATGTTGAAGATCACTTTAATTTAATTTTTTGTTTAAAATCTATTTTGTAACAAATTCACTTTAAGTAAGCTAAACCGTTTTTAAACTTTTAGCTCATTCATCGGATTTCTATTATTGATAAAATACTCGATTTCCTAAACAATAGAAATTCAATTGGATTTTCTGCTCAAAATCGACGCTTGAATATCAATTATTTTACTTTCAAGAAAATTNTTCTCCTGGTTGGTCAATTGCTTGACCATTCAAAATCAGTAGGATTTTGTAGCCCCCGGCTTGCTCTTTTGAATGGTGAAAACCGCAGCTCGATAACTCAAAGTAATCAAAAGTTATTCAGAAAATGGTCGTTAATACTTTTAAAAAAATCCGACATTAAGTACATTCGAATACGATCGAGCATCGGATACAACACAATTTGTTCGAACAACGCGTTCAATGACGCTCAACATTGTTTTAGAATGATCAGATAGAGTGGAAAAAGACAAATGAAACAGAAAGAAAAATGAAGAAGAAAAAGAAGTGAAGGACAAGAAAATCAAGGAGAATAAGAAGTGGAGAACGAAAAATAAATAATATGGTGACGTATGATGGTTTGCTCTGATACGTACAACAATGTTACCAACTGATATGATGTACAACCCGCACTAATTCGATTTATTCACTCGTTTATTTTATTTATAATCGACTAGTACGTACGCACCAGCCACTATGTCAAAACGAATTGTAGTCAAGTGAAAATAGTATTACAACGAATAAATTATGAATTTGGTAGCTGTCAACTGCAAAGACAAAGAATTCGGCATGTGCAAACAAATCAAATTCACGAATAAGCACGGCTCATATTTATTCAATTGCGTTATTGAAAACTTTATTCTTCGTGGTGGCATTGCTCTCAACAGTTACAAAAGATGGCAGTATCGTTTGAAAACATATCACTCTTACTACGTCGAGGCATATATATATATAATAGTCATCATACGATGTCATCTTTACTCAATAACAAGTTCAATGTTAAGAACAAAGTTCGTGGTGCAGACTATGTTTTTGAGCAGCTGGGTGACGTGTTACTACCACGTTTACAGCCCCAGAGCTTCATGTCTCAAACAGGCATGCATAAACCACGAGGTGTTCTCTTGTCTGGTCCTCCAAGAACAGGAAAAACTCTCATCGTTCGCACTCTTTGTGAAATGCTCAACGTTCAGCCAAAAATCGTACGTGATCCTGAAATCTTTAGCCGTTTTTTAGGAGAATCCGAAGAAAAAATTCGTGCTTTGTTCGCCATTGCGCGATGCCATCAGGAAACTCTGGTTGATCGCACCGAAATTCACGTTACTATTCTTGACGAGTTGGATTCCATCTGTAAAAGTCGAACACACTGCGACGAATCTACACGTGACACTGTACAAGACAATGTTACAACCCAACTGCCTCCCGAAATAGGGTGTGGGTGTGGGTGTGGGTGTGGTTTAGGGCTAGAAGAACCCAGATCACAAGACCCCAAGACTCACACCCACACCCATACCCACATGAAAGCCCACACCCACACCCACACCCACATCCACACCCACACCCACCCATACCCGGTCAAGAAATAGCGGGATCCTGCTCTTGTTCGATCTTCGTTCGAGATTGACGTATCCTTAGATCAGAGTCGTGCCAGAAACGACAACTTCACACGAGTATCGAATTCATGGGCAAGAAATGACCGCAAATAATCTGAAAACGATGCGTAGAAATCAATTTCGGATCTGCCCGAAGGCCAACGATCGATTTTCCATGGGTCCGAATGTTTCCCATCGTGTCTATATCATCTGTGTAATGGTTCGATCCTCTTCTATTTCGCCCATAACGAATGAAAATCTGTCGAATATATTGCTAAGACCATCGGTATATTGATTTGCGATAAGAAAAGTTGAATGTTCTTGACTTAAACGAAATAAAATATTCATAGGGATTTTGACGCTAGAACTTTCATCAATTCATTCCATTGAGGATTTAAACAACGTCATCACTTGCTTATTCATTAGAAAAAAGAAGACTGCATCAGAGATGGAACTTGTCTGGATATTTGTAGATCGCTACCGGTAGTGGTTCAAATAGAATATACCGGACCGAACCAGCCTGCCTGCCGATAGACCAATCGACCTAAAATTTTTACCAGTAGTAGTTCTGTCTTTGAATAGTGATAGTTGTGGTAGTCAACTCCTAAACTCTTCTATGTATTCTGTTTAAAATGGCATTAAGATCCAGAAGTTTCGAACAAGTTTATACAATAAAAAATTTTAAAACTTAATAAATCGGCAAGTCGCCGATCTAGCGAGGAGTCCACGAAAAATAAATTTATCCCGTTTTACTTTTAGACTCTCCAATTTGTGCCTGTAGTTGCTTTAGTCTTTTTATTAGTTTTTCGATACTTTAGATCGCTTGAGTTCCTTTAGTCCTTTTAGGCACCGTTAGTCCCTTCAATTCGGAAGACTTAAAGGCACCAAATGAACTTAAAGAGACATAAAACAAATAAGGTAACTAAAGGGATCAAAGGGAATAAATTGATCAAAAGGCACTAAAGGAACTACCCATATAAAAACAAAAGACAGAAAATCGGATTAAAATCGATTAAAATTGCTTTTTCCCAAGAAATCGAAATAATCGATTAAGCTTGGTTCTAATCAGTTTTAATCGATTAATGCAATAATTGCGCAATCTCAACTGAAACAATTTATATAGCAGTTGCAACTTTACAATACAGTATTTGTTGAGCTTTAGCACGTACACAACTTCATGGTTTAAAAAGCACGAGCAATCCAAAGCGCTTATGAACAAATTAGGATTCCGCTTTCGAACCTTCAGAAAGGTGTCTGTCTTCTATGGATATGATTAAAATCCATTAACATTTAAAAATAGATTAAAAGCGGACAACAAATAAGTACAGATTGAAGTCCGTTAAGAAATAATAATACATTAATATAGATTCAAACGTACCCATGTGAAAAAATAAGAACAGTTTGATGTTAATCGATTTTTAATCTGAAAAAAAAGATTAAAATCGGATATTTCCTATGTGTCTTTTTACGTGAGTAACGGAATTTAAAGGGGCTAAAAGGATTAAAGGTACCTAAAGACACTAAAAGGACCTAAAGAAAGTAAAGGGATTAGAGGTCAATGTAAATACTAAATGCAGAAATCGTGCGTTTGCACACGTTTTACAAGAAAATGCATCAAGGTGCAGCGGAAAGTCAATAAGAAATGCGTCTGAACACGATATTACATGAAGCGGATTTGAACCCGATTTTAATTTGAAATGCATTGAATCGCAGCCTTATCGATCTATGCATCTGGCTGCGCCTTTGTGAAGCGCACGTCTCAGTGTAATTTTATCTAAAAACGCATCTTCAGTGAGACATTTCTGGCGTCTAGATGCGATTCCAGTGTGAATCGCGTCTGGAAGCGAAAAATGCTTAACATGTACTGCAACTAGACGCGCTCGACAGCTTCCTTGAAGATACAAACGAATTTCAATTCGGAAACTTACTAGTGCAAAAAAATATTAATGTGATTGGGTTTATGCACACCAGAAAATATCTGTGAACGTTTCCTATAAAATTCATCTAATCCGGTGAATGTCGAATTCTTAACAATTTTTGAAGTCTTTCTGTTGCGAAAGACAGAGTATATGATTTTTTTAATAGAATAGTATAAGCGCATCAATTCTGAAACATAAATACTCTAAAATTGAAAGTAATGATGTTTTAGAAAAAATATACACAAGTGTTTTCTCAAAAGGAATAGTTTGGATTATTAGAATTTTTTAAAATTATTTCATTCAGTTCATTTAATGCATCATTTTTCTGGATAAATATATATATATATATGTATGTATACAGCAATGATTAAAATATTATATGTACACAAAGTTTTATTGATGCATGCATTTATAAATAAGTTTCTAACAGACGACCCATGTGTATATAATTACTGTTTCGTTTGACAACTAGCGAGGTCACATATGACTCAATGGTAATGTATACTTGCTTTTTAATTGTTAGTTCGCTTGTTCTAATCTTATTTCGGTCATTTTAGAAAAGCCACAGTTTAAACTTTCCGTTGACCTGTAGTTGGGTAAAGACCATCGCTAAGCTATGTCAATGGCGACCCAGATCAAACCTGAGACGAATCGTAATACATTTTTGAAATTTAAAATATCGAGTCAAGCGCGTCTAGATGCAAGTTTAGTTTGAATCGCTTATAGATGTGATTTTGTCAACAATCATGTCTTAACGAGAATTAATGGTGAGTCGTGTCTAGGGGCAAGAAATATTTCATCTGCGCTACGTCTAGACGCAAATTAAACGCGATTCAAACGCATTTTAACTCAGAAAGTATTTATATGGGAGGGGCTGAAGGGACTGAAACAATGTAAAGCTACTAAAGTATTCTAACAAGGACCAGGTCGAATTTCGTGATCCCTGGTGAAGTGAAATGCTATATAAATAGTTTTGTAGAGCAGGCCACACCACATCGAATGGTATATAACAAAGCACGTTTTTCTTGAGCTTTGACCTTTTGATCAAACGTATACGGGCTGGGGTATATTATGGCATACTTCGAATTTTTGATATCAGTATATTCACTTCTCAACTTGCTCAAAGTTCTTTCTAAATATTGTTTCCATGGAACTTGATGTGTTCTACTATGCTNTGAAATTGTTCTTTTAAAAGTTGTTTATGATTTTGATTCGGTCGAAGATTGGATTGTAGACGAGATTTTTTCGTTATGAGAATAACAGCTGATATTAGATTAATAATAAATGGAGCTAAACCATGAAATATATGTATAATAGAATTGAATATTTGTAAACTAGATGGATAAGTAGCAATACACCATATGCGTTTATCATCTTCATTTTCTTCATCAATTAAGCGTCGATAAAAAGGATCATAAATAGTAGTACCAATAATGAAAATCAAAAGAATAATAATAACTATTTTAGCTATTTTTCTACTTGTTTTCTTTCGAAAATGAGTAGCACTTATTATTGTAATAGTGCGTTCAACAGCAACACTCGCATTCAACCATTGATCCATATTAAGACAAACTCGTAAAAGAAAATCGAGTGATATACATTGAATTTGTAAGAATAAACGATTTTTTAAAAGGGACATCTGTGCTAGAACAAGTATCCAAAATTTCAATCCTAATAAAATAGTTGTAAGTAAAGTTGTAATCGATGAACCTAATAAATACAAGCCACAACCAACTTCACATATTATTTTATTATTAAATGTAATCAAAGATAAAACTCCATTAATGAATCCTGCAATCACTAAGATGGAAGTTAATGTTAAACTAATTTTAACAATATTTGGCTGATTTATAATATTAATATTTGGTTGAATCTGATAACCTAAGATAGCATCAAGAGATAAACCAAATCCATTCGTCGTAAATTGACATCGTGTTCCATAAAAACATGGTCGACAAATACATAGTGATCTTTCTGGACAATACGGCGTGTCTTGAAAACATTGACCATCATTTTCACAAACACTTTGACCTAAACAATCCGATTTCATATCATGATTAAAATCAAAACAATTTGCTATACGTTGTTTGTCATAATTATAACATAAACAAATAGAAACATTATCATAAAAACAAGCTAGATTTGATGAATTTCTTTGACATGGTAAATGGTAATATTTAATACGACGAAGACGATGCATTTGAACAAAGCTTTCATTAAATAATTCATTTATATGTTGACAACGATCTGATGACTTTATCGATGTAGCAATAGTTGTTGATCGAGTATAAGTTTTTTGAATAACAGCTAAATAATAAATTTTATTGTAAACTTCAATAAAAACAAGATGAAATGGTCGTGACCAATAAAGTATAATTAAATCCTGTAATAGAGGAATTGTTCGAAAAGTTGTCATTCTCCTTGGTGTTACATCATTAATAACTTCTATGAAATGAATAAATATTGATGGAGATAAAATAATATCTTTATTAAATGACAAAATAATTTTGTTATCAACTTTTTCACATTGATCACCAGTATAACCTTTTGAACAAATACATGTAAATTTCTGATTCGATGACATATATTCATCAACAGGAATACATTGACCACCATTTAAACAGGTTGAATTATTATTCAATTGACAAATTGTATTGACAAGAAGGCATTGATAACCAAATTTATGAACAGAACAAACACATATAGATCGATTGTGAGCAGATAAACCAATACATATTGAATCTGATGAACAAATACAATCATGAGGAATAGTACAATATCTTCCAGACCATCCAAGATTACATTGACAAAAAATATTATTTTGTGGATTATTCGAATATATGATACATTTACCATGAATACATTGAGAACTTGAACAAATTTGAATGTTTTCATTATTTCGTGGAATAGTAACTATATATGCTAGACGATGAACAGGTAAAAACGAAAATTTTATTGGATATAATAAACTTCCTCGATAAGTTAATGAAATTTTTTCATAGATATCAATATGTATTGCATCATTTTTTTGTTTCATTTTTTGGTCGAGTCGAATAGAGTAAATAAATATTAAATTTAATTTTACAATCTCTTGTTGACAAATAAGTGAACTGTTCATATGAATGAATTATTCTTTCTTCACTATCATCGACAAGTGAAACAATTATTGCAAATAATGTTGACCAAGAATCCGATAATGCTTGAAATTGAATAGTTAAACTCACTCGTTGATTTTTATATTGACATTGATCACCATAAAAGGTAGGTGGACAAAGACATGTATTTCTTGTTAAGTTCTTTTCATTGTTTAACCATACACGTAAATCAAAACCACGATGACATCGACGTTGATATTTTTGAAACGTTTTCATTAGATTTAATGTTGGAAAATCGACTTTTGTATCAATCTTCGTTTGATCTGTGACGGATTTGCCTCTTTCATCTAATGAAAAATATTTAATTGGTTGTTTCCATTTATTCTGTGCTGTTTGACATAAAAAGTGCTCGACTTCAGAACGAATTGATAGGAGTTCGGGAAAACAAATACTACGATAGAAGTAAGTATTTGTTCGATTTTTTTCACAAAATTGTTCATCATCTCTATGAGTACAACTTTCACGCCTATCACATAGTTCGATTTGACTAACACATGGATGAAAGCTTTGATTGGTGCAATAAAAACCAGACAGATATTGCCCGCCTAATCTTTTTTGACATAATGTTGGCTCATCAGTAGCACCAAGGCAATCGATCTTGTTGTCATTTATTTTCTTAGCAGATAGGCACATCAGTTGATTTGTATCAGGTGAAACACATAGGTGATGATCTGAAGAACAATTTAATGTTGAAATTAGGTAACAACCAATTTCATTTTCACCATTAAGACAATTCCATAAGCCATCACAATGAGTATAAATATTATTACATGGCCATTGTTCACATTCCGTTTCATTTTTTTCTTCGATAAGTATCGATATCAGTTCAGTAAATCCATCACAAATAGTTTGAAATGAGAAATTCTTTGTAATATAGTCAGTCTGAGATGTTTCGTCTTCACACGCGGCAGTACCAGAAATGATACAATGGCAAAGTTTATCATTAGCATATATTTGATGGATGTATCTGTTAGATAATTCGCACTTGAAATGGTTTTTTAGAAGTTTAGTTAAATTAGCCTTATTAATATGCTTCATATTTTCGTCATCATCTTGAGGACAATCTGAATCGCCGTTGAGGAGACGATCTGCTGAGATACATTTGGACGAGTTAACACATCGGTACATGTTCGATGTATTACAAATTTTAGAAGTATAGTTAAAAATTATATGATGTCTCTTTAAAGTATCAATTTCTGGGTATACATGGGTGAAAATTTCGGTCAGCGACTTAGGCATGAACCAAGGATACGACCACCCATTAGGATGGAAACATGTTTTATCTTTGAATATAAATTTTTTATAAGTATTCAAATACTCATCATAATGAAAACTGATATAGCAAATAAAAGGTGCTGCAAAAGCTGTATCGGTAAAAAACAATGAGTCGTTTTTTGTGTATGCAAGGTAAATGTCACCATGAAAAACGGGAACATTTGGAAAGTAAAATATATCTGGGCATGTATTCTGAATGATTTCTAGGCATACTCGTTGTTCACAAGTCTTGATAAAAATTGTTTCTTCGTAGTTTGGTATTTTTAAAATAGATCTTAAAGCTGATAAACATTGTTTACGCATCGTATAGTCTTCGGCCAAATGCATCGCTTTAAATATGAAACTGTCACGTTCTTGCATCCAAAAATACTGATATTGTGTAAATTTATATGTGTTTTCTTCATTTCTAAATGATGGCTCATCATACATATATACATGATCTTCGTTATTCTTTACGCTATAGTCGTCAGAATTATCCAAACAATCAGTAGTGTTAACATCATCCCGAAAGAACGATAGTGGTATACATTGGCCATTCATACATCGATATTCATCATCCTTACACGTATTAATTTCAAGTTCCCAACAATGTTCTTCATCCAATTTGCCATCGATGCAATCTACCTTTCCATCACAGATTTCTCTCCAATCTAAACATGCTGGAAAAGGACCACGATTACATTGCCAATGAGTATAGCAGGTCCGATGAATTGCATTATAATCATTTGGCTTATAGTAATCATGAATAACTTCATGTAAAGATGAATAATTTTTATGATTGTATGTAATTTCATCTTGACACATGGAACCAAACCTAGGAAATGTACAATTATAGAAAACTTGAGTTTCTAGAGATTTATCATTTGATGTTGATAATTGATTTAAATAGAATTGATAACGTTCAACAACATCCATCGGTGCTGACCAATAGTATAATTGTTGACTTGTAATATTTTGTTTCGACAGTTCACAAAATGTAAACTTTGGAAAAATATCTTTATTCTCAATTTGGACTTTGGCCAGTAGTTCATTCATACAATAAGATATAATTTCACGACTCAAATGTGCTTTGTCAATTGAAATAGTAACACGTAAATAATCATGTTGCAAAGCATTATTACTTTCACTCTCACTTACCCAATCTGTATAATGAAGATTGATTTGAGGGGAACCAAAAATCGAATGTAAGAGAACAAGACTGAATAAATATTTCATATGAAACATTATCTACTAATGAATACAGTAACGAATGAATACATCAATGGCTATTTCTAGAGTTCATGCAATGTTTGTCTTTTCTTTTCTCTTTTATATACGTCATTCATCATTGCTGATAAACATCTGAACAGTTATTATAGTTGAAAGTTTATTTTTAACATAAGATAAAAGATGTTTATGTGCAAGAGATGTGAGTAAACTCATATGTAGTAACAGCTTATCTTATATTTTAATGTCTATCGATAAACGAAATTAAAATGTTTCAATGCATTTCAGCTGATCAAGCATTAATAAAAAGAGTACTATTCATGTCAATGCCATACAGAATAGGTAGGCGGACAAGAATTTAAAATCGATTAAAGAACGGTGTATTTAGTCAATTTTTGTGAAACAGGAAGTTGACGGAAGTATGTGCTAACTAAAATAAAATAGTATTTATTTCAGGATAGATTAAAAATCAGGGAAACAAACTGATGTTCATTTGTCAATATTAATTTGTTCAGTCAATACACTAACAAACAGATGTATCTACTAATGGATTAATAAGCAAAGGCTGATTTCATTTTAATTTTTTCTCTTTCAGAAACATAGTTAGAAAAGCTGTAGGTTGTGGCGGAGGTGGTCCTGTTAAAAATTTACGACGACTCTTTTTTAATTTTATATTTCTGGAATCTTACACACATTAATTTACTTTAAAACCTTCTTGATATATGAGTCAAGTTTTCTTTCGATGGGTCCACTTCAAGCTTAGAATGAACCAATAAATGGAGCGTTTGAATATTTTTATGTCAAAAACATTTTAAAGAAAACGGTCAAATTTAAGATTTTATGATTGATGAAATTGAACGTCTTTCAATTAATAATCTCTTCAAGTTAAGCAGTAGTTACAGTAAACCCCCGCCCCCCCCCCCCCCCCCCCCCCCCCCCCCCACCCCCCCACCCCCCCCCCACCAACCCACACACACCCCAAAAACCACGAAC